CCCCCACCCACCCCATCGTTTCCCCCACCAACCCGATCCTCCCAACTGATCGCTTCCCCCAAGTCGATCCCCTCCCCCCCACCCAACCAACGTGCCGTATAGTACCTGCTTCTTCAGCTTGTCGTTCTTCATCCCAGCTTCTTCCGTTTGTTCAGCCACGTTGCTCAGCTGCTCAGCTTTCTTCGCCTTTCTATATTTTAGCCTGCTCGCTATACTGCTTCAGCTTTTTCGTTTTCATCGCATGGGCGGACACGTTTAGCTGCCCTTTCTCACTCCATCCCGCTACCACATCCGTTCCCTAATTTCGCCTTCTTGATCGCCATTTCTTATCTCAATCATATTTCCTTCGGTGGTTTTTTTGCTACCACTACCTACCAGTGGTCGTGGCGCTCGGCAGTGCAAGTGAGAGCGCTTCAGTGGGCGCGCGACCCTGTTGGTGCTTGCTTCTGCAGGTGCGCGCCTCAGCATGTGCAGGTATACGCACCTTTTCTGTTTCGCGTTACGTGACAGTGCAGTCGCTCGCCCTCTCCCATTTGTGTGTGTTTCAGCGTTGACTAATGGCACTTATGTGCAGAAGTTCTTTCTCGTCCATCTTTTGTTTCACTAACCAGAATACGTTACTTCCTTCGGAGTTTTTTAGTTTCAGCTGTTGTGTTCAGGTAGTCAATTGATGACATCCAGGAATGTTCTGATACCTTACTCGCTAGCCTCTTTCGCTACCGACATTCAAGTCTGTTGTGCCAAGTTTTAATTTCCGCATCATGACATTGGCGGAACCCACTAAGTCCAAGGTTATGCTTTGCTCTTTGCAGGAAATGAAATCCACAGATATCTGCGTCAAGTTAAACAAATATGCATTTACGCTTGTTCTTTTGAAGTGAAACATGCGTCTTTTGTTGTGTGAATTCATAAATCGATTTTACACTCACATTTTGCAAAAACAAAGTGTGTTGCCCATCTGTTTTGTAGCTGCTTTAAGTGGTGCAATGTGTGAGTGCTTTGTTGTGAGAGACTGAAACAATGCTGAATACAAGCACCCGTCTTCAGGAGCCCAGAGTTCCGATTAGATGTCATTTGTCTTTGCACATATTGTGCGTCTTATCGTTGCCTTCCCATTTTTTGTACAGCTAAAACGAAACATGTTATAGCCTGGTTGACCACGCGGATCCAGCGATGTAAGCATGTGTTTGCACCCGTAACAATCGCCATGCATCCAGACAACAAGTCTGTCAATCACGAATCAGTGACTTGATCCAGTCGTTGCTTGTTTGACACATGGCGAACTGCAAGGTTGTGAATCGTGGCTTGAAGCAAGACACGTGTGCACCAGAGGGGAGATAATGAATCTGACGGTTCAGATTAATTGTAATCCAAGGGCCTACGTTCCAACTGTATCGCCACCTCGGCAGCCAGATTTCTTTCCTACGGCCTCGAGTCCACTTTCTCCTCCTACAGCTTACTGTTTCTTCTTTCGCGACTGTGGGGCTCGTGAAACCCCAACCGCACTGGGCGATCCTGTGGCGTGTTGGCCAGCCCCACCCTGCCCTGCACCACTTACCGTAAAATCACACACTTCCCTCCCACCAGCTTGTCCCGCCGGCCACCCTCGCACGGTAGAACCTCGCTGAAGCAAAACCATTGGTTCTTCAGCTTCATCACCTGCAAGCTTTCGACTGTAGTCAAGCGTCGTCCGCCAAGTCTCCTGCAGTCGCAGCATGGTTGCCAACTGGTGGTTGTAGTAGTCGCCCAAGTCGTTTCGTTCGAGATTTTGGCATTTTGCTCCGCCGATAGTCAAAGCCGCACTGCAATAAAAGAAGCGACGATGTCGCAATTGTCCGTTTCGCTACCGTATTGAACATCGATTATTCTCCCGCGGTCATAGTAGTAGAATTAAAGTGCGGGCTCTTTGACCATTATTGCAGGCATCGCTTTATAAGACCGCGATCAGGTCAATTTAGGGTTGTGAGACTGCACGACCGTCAGTGCTCGACGCGTTTCGTCTTTGCACTAGGTCGTTCGCCCAGATGGCAATCTTAATCCTATCGAGCAAGGCAGCGCAGGCGACGCGTAAGAATTCTCGAGCAGCAGCGTGCGGGCTCGCGAACAGCAGCGCGTGAGTTTGATGACCTGATTATTACCACCCACTGCTGCGGCGACTCCCCCTGCTTCTTGCTCCACCTCCTCCCACCATGGCGTCGTGCCGATCAGCCGTCGCAGCAACGGCGACGAGCGATAGCGGGGCCGTCGCGCTGACGAGGTACCAGCACGGCAAGTCGCGCGTGCGGCTGGGGCGCGTGTGGCGGCGCGGCGGCGAGCACGCGATGGTGGAGTGGAGCATCGACATCGCGCTCGCCTCCCAGGCGGACGCGTCGTTCCTCGGCGACAACTGTTCCGCGGTCGTCGCTACCGACACCATGAAGAACACGGTGCGCTGATTGTGATGGGATGTGCAGTGCGGTGCTGAGGCGCGCAGTGCGTGCGAGGATGTTGAAGTGCGGGGATGCGCGCCGCGCATCCCCGGGGATGCGCGCCACGCGGGGATGCGCGCCGTGCGGGGATGCGCGCCGCGCGCGGATGCGCGCCGTGCGCTGTGCGGGGATGCGCGCTTTGCGGGGATGCGCGCTGTGCGGGGATGCGCGCTATGTGCTGATGCACGCTGTGTGCCATCCCAAAAAAGGCGTGGTCGGGTGGGCATGGTTTTTTTAGGTTTCCGAAAGGTTACCTCCGTAATACTTACGGCTCAGTTACGAGAGAGTTCATTTGGCGATAGGCGCTTCGAGAATCTTACCCAAAGTTACCTTGTTAGCTTGGGCGCCAAATGCTCGCGCTCGTGATTGGCTGTCGTTTCATAGTTACGGAAGGGTAAGATTTCGCATCAGATTTGTCAAGCTCTCGCTTGACTGGATGGTTCGTTTATGTTTTCAATTCAGAATCGACATTTGTAAAGGGACCATTGTAACAGCGCTTTTATAATTTTAAACATTGTGCTTTATGTCCACCTGTCATTTGCATTGTTATATCATAATTATGAATGCTAGTAGAAAGGAAGTTTATGCTTCACAAGGAGAATGTGTAGTGATCTTATATGTTAAAATATATTCAATATGTGTTGGGGGGCTGAGAACAACAGTTTGCTTCATTTTTCAGAATGTTGTGTTACCACTTTTATCTCAACAATTGTCTAGAGATGTTTTTGCGTGCATTTCAGATTGACGTGCTTCATATTCTTATTGAAGGTTCTGCATTCACATCTACGATCTTACATCGAGTTCTTACATCCAGTCCTTACATAAATGTTAACTTGCCTAAGTTAGAATCTACGTTGGCCACCGGCACCGGATGGAGCATTGGTGCGTCGTCGACCGCGCAGCAGCATCATCGGAGGCCGTCGTAAATGGTCTACGTCAAGCAAGTCGCTGACGAAGGGCACGCGACGACAGGGGAATAGTCGGCAGAGAAGCGGACAGGAGGGGAGCCGACTTCAAGGGAAGAGCTCGGCTACGGCTCGTCGAGCGACATTGTCGAAGTCGTTCGCAAAGCTAGCGACAAAAAAGGGGAGCCGTCGACGCGGGAGCCGTGGAGCGACAGCTTATCGAGCGACGTGGTTGAAGTCACGGTTGACAAGCCGGCGGTGCGACATTCCACTCGCCCTAACGTCCGCCCGGCATTCGCCAACACGATTCTCAAAGGCGTGCATGCAGACGTTGCACTGCATAAGCTGGATCCCAACGTACACGCCAATACTGAACGACGTTGGGACATCTCAACGATGACAGTCAAGGAGGCGCTGGCAAGCTGGAAGGGCAAGGCATTGAAAATGGCAATGGACAAGGAGATACAAAGTCCCCTCGCCAACGTCACACAAAAGCGAATGCCTCGACCACGCGGTGTCAACGTCATGGATAACCGCTGGGAGCTTACGGCGAAGTACCATATCGACGACACGGTCACCGCGGGAAGGCGCGTCTGGTGGTGAAAGGGTTTACCTAGCTCTGCGGTGGCGTCCACGACGTGATGTATGCACCGGTCAGTAGCTACGCCATGCTCAAGATTTTCCTTTGTATCATCGTTGTCTTTGAATTGCACATGATGCAGCTCGACATGAAGAACGCCTTCCCACAGAGCAAGCTGGACTGCATTCTCTGTACGGACCAGTTGTTCTACTACACCCACTGTACGCGCAACCTTTTGAAGAGCTTATACGGACTCTTGCAGAGCTTGTTGCCATGGTCTTCGTCGGTGAACGACGTGTTGACCGGCGTCCACTGTAGCATGAGCCCGGTCGACGAAGCCTTCTACTTTAAGGTCGGTGACGACTAAGTCGCATGTTGGGTGCTCGTCTACGTCAACGACCTCCAAGCCGTTAACATCAGAGCCGTAATGCTAAAGGAGTTGTGCAAGCTGCTGCAGAGCATCTTTGTGCTGTGCGAGATCAGCCTGGTGGGCCTGGAGATAGAGCGCGACCAACCAGCACAGAAGCTGTGGCTCTACCAGTAGTCCTAAATCGACAAGGTGAACAGGCGCTTCATCGACGAGGGGCGGTCTCGTCCGCGTGCGAAGACGCCGGTTTCCGTCAACGCCTACGCCGAGTTGACTTTCGACGTCGAAGACTTCTAGCCTCGTGATGAGGTGGAGTACTATCATAAAGTCGGCTCGCTGTCGTTCGCCGCCACCATGGCTCGGCTCGACATCGCCCCTACGTGCACCGAGTTGGGATCCCGCTTTAATGTGCTGGACAACCAGGGTTTAGGTGATGTCGACCTCTGCCTCGCCTACTTGGTTGCACGCGCGACGTCGCCTCCCCGAATTAGGCGGCGGGTCGGCGACTCTGTTTCTGGTCGCCTACGCAGCTTTCGTTGACGCTGGCGACCAACAGACGTGCAGTAGCACGACTGCGTACATCTACGCCGGATCCCATCAGAACTCCGAAGCTAAGCGCCGGTGGGCGAGAGCAGTACTGGGCTGGGTGACCTCCCGGGAAGTCCTCGTGTTGTACCCATTTATGCCCCTTGCTCGGCACGTGCCGGGGGAGGGGCAAGCGGGAAAAAGAAGAAAGATTTTAGCGCGTCCGATTTTTTTATTTCCGTTTTTTTGCCCAAACAACGACTCAGCGGGGTGGGGGCCCCCCGGGGAGGCTTGCCCGTGCGAAGAAACGCCCCGCGCGCACCACCGTTGGGCGGTTGGAAGCCGCACACGGTCGCGGGGGTGGAGAGCGGAAACGGGCAGCCGGGGGAGGGTGGGGGCGGTTGGATGGGACTGGGGTGTACGGGGGGCAGGGGAGTTGAGGGGGCAAGGGGAGGGGCAGCAACGGGCAGGGGCTGGGCCAGCTGAGGGCACGGAAAAGGGGCGGGCAGAGGGTGAGCAGCGGGGCGAGCGATGCAAGGGAGGCACCATAGGGGGGAAACCAGTTGCACGGAGGTGGGAGGTGAGGGGCGTGCGAGGGGGTGGGAAAGGGGCAGGGAGGGGCGGAATGGGAGGACGTGGGTGGGGGGTGGGGGAGGGGAGTGTGCGTGTGTGTGTGAGAAAGAGAGAGAGAGAGAGAGGGAAAGGGAGGGGGGGAGAGAAGGGTGGGAGGGGGGCTGGTGGTGCGGATGGGCTGATGGTGGCAAGAGGGCAGCAGGGATGGGGAGAAGGGAGCGTAACGAGGGGAACGCAAAGGGCAGGGGGGGAGGAGGGGAGGGGCAGGGAGAGAAGAGGCTGAACGTACAAAGGGGGGAAACGAGGGGCATGGATGGTAGGAAACAAGGGCAGGGGTGCGGGAAATCAAGGGCAGGGAGGGGAGAAGCAATGGGTGAGGGGAAAACAAGGGAGGGGCAGAGGGGGGGCAGGGAGGGAAGAAACGTGGGGCAGGGAGGGGAGAAGCCAAAGACAGGGGCATGGGCAGGCGGGGGCAGGGAGGGAGCAAAGGAGAGGCACGGAGAAAGAAAGGGAGGCGCGGGGAGGGGAGAAACCGGGCGTGGGGGGGCGGAAAATGAGGGGCAGGGCGGGGAGGAGGGAGGGGCAGGGAGGGGAGAAGCTGAGCACACGGAGGGGGGAAAGGTGGGGCAGGGAGGTAGGAAGCCAAGGGCAAGGGGGGGAGAGTGGGGGAGCAGGGAGAGGGGGGAGGTGGGGAGCGGAGAAAGGCGGCGAGGGGCAGGGAGGGGAGAAACCAAGCATAGGGGGGCGAGATACGAGGGGCAGGGTGCGGATTGAGGAGGGGCAGGGAGTGGAGTGGGTCGGCGAGGGGAAGGAAGAGGCGTGCAGCAGAGGAGGGGAGGGGGAAGGAGAAGGTAAACGAGGGGAGCGCACGGGCGGGGAGGAGCGAATGGCGGGCGGTGGGAAACGGCGAGGGGGGCAGGGAGGGTCAAAAGAGGCGGCAAGGGAGCGGGCACGCGGAGGGTGGGGGCGGGGGGGAGCGGATGGCATGAGGAGGCAGGGGGTGTGACTATGAAGGGGGGACCCGGGCAAGGGGTGTGTACCGGTCGGGGCACGGGATTGACGTGGTACGATCATACCTCGGCTACTACGCCGGATCCCATCAGAACTCCGAAGCTAAGCGCCGGTGGGCGAGAGCAGTACTGGGCTGGGTGACGTCCCGGGAAGTCCTCGTGTTGTACCCATTTATGCCCCTTGCTCGGCACGTGCCGGGGGAGGGGCAAGCGGGAAAAAGAAGAAAGATTTTAGCGCGTCCGATTTTTTTATTTTCGTTTTTTTGCCCAAACAACGACTCAGCGGGGTGGGGGCCCCCCGGGGAGGCTTGCCCGTGCGAAGAAACGCCCCGTGCGCACCACCGTTGGGCGGTTGGAAGCCGCACACGGTCGCGGGGGTGGAGAGCGGAAACGGGCAGCCGGGGGAGGGTGGGGGCGGTTGGATGGGACTGGGGTGTACGGGGGGCAGGGGAGTTGAGGGGGCAAGGGGAGGGGCAGCAACGGGCAGGGGCTGGGCCAGCTGAGGGCACGGAAAAGGGGCGGGCAGAGGGTGAGCAGCGGGGCGAGCGATGCAAGGGAGGCACCATAGGGGGGAAACCAGTTGCACGGAGGTGGGAGGTGAGGGGCGTGCGAGGGGGTGGGAAAGGGGCAGGGAGGGGCGGAATGGGAGGACGTGGGTGGGGGGTGGGGGAGGGGAGTGTGCGTGTGTGTGTGAGAAAGAGAGAGAGAGAGAGGGGGAAAGGGAGGGGGGGAGAGAAGGGTGGGAGGGGGGCTGGTGGTGCGGATGGGCTGATGGTGGCAAGAGGGCAGCAGGGATGGGGAGAAGGGAGCGTAACGAGGGGAACGCAAAGGGCAGGGGGGGAGGAGGGGAGGGGCAGGGAGAGAAGAGGCTGAACGTACAAAGGGGGGAAACGAGGGGCATGGATGGTAGGAAACAAGGGCAGGGGTGCGGGAAATCAAGGGCAGGGAGGGGAGAAGCAATGGGTGAGGGGAAAACAAGGGAGGGGCAGAGGGGGGGCAGGGAGGGAAGAAACGTGGGGCAGGGAGGGGAGAAGCCAAAGACAGGGGCATGGGCAGGCGGGGGCAGGGAGGGAGCAAAGGAGAGGCACGGAGAAAGAAAGGGAGGCGCGGGGAGGGGAGAAACCGGGCGTGGGGGGGCGGAAAATGAGGGGCAGGGCGGGGAGGAGGGAGGGGCAGGGAGGGGAGAAGCTGAGCACACGGAGGGGGGAAAGGTGGGGCAGGGAGGTAGGAAGCCAAGGGCAAGGGGGGGAGAGTGGGGGAGCAGGGAGAGGGGGGAGGTGGGGAGCGGAGAAAGGCGGCGAGGGGCAGGGAGGGGAGAAACCAAGCATAGGGGGGCGAGATACGAGGGGCAGGGTGCGGATTGAGGAGGGGCAGGGAGTGGAGTGGGTCGGCGAGGGGAAGGAAGAGGCGTGCAGCAGAGGAGGGGAGGGGGGAGGAGAAGGTAAACGAGGGGAGCGCACGGGCGGGGAGGAGCGAATGGCGGGCGGTGGGAAACGGCGAGGGGGGCAGGGAGGGTCAAAAGAGGCGGCAAGGGAGCGGGCACGCGGAGGGTGGGGGCGGGGGGGAGCGGATGGCATGAGGAGGCAGGGGGTGTGACTATGAAGGGGGGACCCGGGCAAGGGGTGTGTACCGGTCGGGGCACGGGATTGACGTGGTACGATCATACCTCGGCTACTACGCCGGATCCCATCAGAACTCCGAAGCTAAGCGCCGGTGGGCGAGAGCAGTACTGGGCTGGGTGACCTCCCGGGAAGTCCTCGTGTTGTACCCATTTATGCCCCTTGCTCGGCACGTGCCGGGGGAGGGGCAAGCGGGAAAAAGAAGAAAGATTTTAGCGCGTCCGATTTTTTTATTTTCGTTTTTTTGCCCAAACAACGACTCAGCGGGGTGGGGGCCCCCCGGGGAGGCTTGCCCGTGCGAAGAAACGCCCCGTGCGCACCACCGTTGGGCGGTTGGAAGCCGCACACGGTCGCGGGGGTGGAGAGCGGAAACGGGCAGCCGGGGGAGGGTGGGGGCGGTTGGATGGGACTGGGGTGTACGGGGGGCAGGGGAGTTGAGGGGGCAAGGGGAGGGGCAGCAACGGGCAGGGGCTGGGCCAGCTGAGGGCACGGAAAAGGGGCGGGCAGAGGGTGAGCAGCGGGGCGAGCGATGCAAGGGAGGCACCATAGGGGGGAAACCAGTTGCACGGAGGTGGGAGGTGAGGGGCGTGCGAGGGGGTGGGAAAGGGGCAGGGAGGGGCGGAATGGGAGGACGTGGGTGGGGGGTGGGGGAGGGGAGTGTGCGTGTGTGTGTGAGAAAGAGAGAGAGAGAGAGAGAGAGAGAGAGGGAAAGGGAGGGGGGGAGAGAAGGGTGGGAGGGGGGCTGGTGGTGCGGATGGGCTGGTGGTGGCAAGAGGGCAGCAGGGATGGGGAGAAGGGAGCGTAACGAGGGGAACGCAAAGGGCAGGGGGGGAGGAGGGGAGGGGCAGGGAGGGAAGAGGCTGAACGTACAAAGGGGGGAAACGAGGGGCATGGATGGTAGGAAACAAGGGCAGGGGTGCGGGAAATCAAGGGCAGGGAGGGGAGAAGCAATGGGTGAGGGGAAAACAAGGGAGGGGCAGAGGGGGGGCAGGGAGGGAAGAAACGTGGGGCAGGGAGGGGAGAAGCCAAAGACAGGGGCATGGGCAGGCGGGGGCAGGGAGGGAGCAAAGGAGAGGCACGGAGAAAGAAAGGGAGGCGCGGGGAGGGGAGAAACCGGGCGTGGGGGGGCGGAAAATGAGGGGCAGGGCGGGGAGGAGGGAGGGGCAGGGAGGGGAGAAGCTGAGCACACGGAGGGGGGAAAGGTGGGGCAGGGAGGTAGGAAGCCAAGGGCAAGGGGGGGAGAGTGGGGGAGCAGGGAGAGGGGGGAGGTGGGGAGCGGAGAAAGGCGGCGAGGGGCAGGGAGGGGAGAAACCAAGCATAGGGGGGCGAGATACGAGGGGCAGGGTGCGGATTGAGGAGGGGCAGGGAGTGGAGTGGGTCGGCGAGGGGAAGGAAGAGGCGTGCAGCAGAGGAGGGGAGGGGGGAGGAGAAGGTAAACGAGGGGAGCGCACGGGCGGGGAGGAGCGAATGGCGGGCGGTGGGAAACGGCGAGGGGGGCAGGGAGGGTCAAAAGAGGCGGCAAGGGAGCGGGCACGCGGAGGGTGGGGGCGGGGGGGAGCGGATGGCATGAGGAGGCAGGGGGTGTGACTATGAAGGGGGGACCCGGGCAAGGGGTGTGTACCGGTCGGGGCACGGGATTGACGTGGTACGATCATACCTCGGCTACTACGCCGGATCCCATCAGAACTCCGAAGCTAAGCGCCGGTGGGCGAGAGCAGTACTGGGCTGGGTGACCTCCCGGGAAGTCCTCGTGTTGTACCCATTTATGCCCCTTGCTCGGCACGTGCCGGGGGAGGGGCAAGCGGGAAAAAGAAGAAAGATTTTAGCGCGTCCGATTTTTTTATTTCCGTTTTTTTGCCCAAACAACGACTCAGCGGGGTGGGGGCCCCCCGGGGAGGCTTGCCCGTGCGAAGAAACGCCCCGCGCGCACCACCGTTGGGCGGTTGGAAGCCGCACACGGTCGCGGGGGTGGAGAGCGGAAACGGGCAGCCGGGGGAGGGTGGGGGCGGTTGGATGGGACTGGGGTGTACGGGGGGCAGGGGAGTTGAGGGGGCAAGGGGAGGGGCAGCAACGGGCAGGGGCTGGGCCAGCTGAGGGCACGGAAAAGGGGCGGGCAGAGGGTGAGCAGCGGGGCGAGCGATGCAAGGGAGGCACCATAGGGGGGAAACCAGTTGCACGGAGGTGGGAGGTGAGGGGCGTGCGAGGGGGTGGGAAAGGGGCAGGGAGGGGCGGAATGGGAGGACGTGGGTGGGGGGTGGGGGAGGGGAGTGTGCGTGTGTGTGTGAGAAAGAGAGAGAGAGAGAGAGGGAAAGGGAGGGGGGGAGAGAAGGGTGGGAGGGGGGCTGGTGGTGCGGATGGGCTGATGGTGGCAAGAGGGCAGCAGGGATGGGGAGAAGGGAGCGTAACGAGGGGAACGCAAAGGGCAGGGGGGGAGGAGGGGAGGGGCAGGGAGAGAAGAGGCTGAACGTACAAAGGGGGGAAACGAGGGGCATGGATGGTAGGAAACAAGGGCAGGGGTGCGGGAAATCAAGGGCAGGGAGGGGAGAAGCAATGGGTGAGGGGAAAACAAGGGAGGGGCAGAGGGGGGGCAGGGAGGGAAGAAACGTGGGGCAGGGAGGGGAGAAGCCAAAGACAGGGGCATGGGCAGGCGGGGGCAGGGAGGGAGCAAAGGAGAGGCACGGAGAAAGAAAGGGAGGCGCGGGGAGGGGAGAAACCGGGCGTGGGGGGGCGGAAAATGAGGGGCAGGGCGGGGAGGAGGGAGGGGCAGGGAGGGGAGAAGCTGAGCACACGGAGGGGGGAAAGGTGGGGCAGGGAGGTAGGAAGCCAAGGGCAAGGGGGGGAGAGTGGGGGAGCAGGGAGAGGGGGGAGGTGGGGAGCGGAGAAAGGCGGCGAGGGGCAGGGAGGGGAGAAACCAAGCATAGGGGGGCGAGATACGAGGGGCAGGGTGCGGATTGAGGAGGGGCAGGGAGTGGAGTGGGTCGGCGAGGGGAAGGAAGAGGCGTGCAGCAGAGGAGGGGAGGGGGAAGGAGAAGGTAAACGAGGGGAGCGCACGGGCGGGGAGGAGCGAATGGCGGGCGGTGGGAAACGGCGAGGGGGGCAGGGAGGGTCAAAAGAGGCGGCAAGGGAGCGGGCACGCGGAGGGTGGGGGCGGGGGGGAGCGGATGGCATGAGGAGGCAGGGGGTGTGACTATGAAGGGGGGACCCGGGCAAGGGGTGTGTACCGGTCGGGGCACGGGATTGACGTGGTACGATCATACCTCGGCTACTACGCCGGATCCCATCAGAACTCCGAAGCTAAGCGCCGGTGGGCGAGAGCAGTACTGGGCTGGGTGACGTCCCGGGAAGTCCTCGTGTTGTACCCATTTATGCCCCTTGCTCGGCACGTGCCGGGGGAGGGGCAAGCGGGAAAAAGAAGAAAGATTTTAGCGCGTCCGATTTTTTTATTTTCGTTTTTTTGCCCAAACAACGACTCAGCGGGGTGGGGGCCCCCCGGGGAGGCTTGCCCGTGCGAAGAAACGCCCCGTGCGCACCACCGTTGGGCGGTTGGAAGCCGCACACGGTCGCGGGGGTGGAGAGCGGAAACGGGCAGCCGGGGGAGGGTGGGGGCGGTTGGATGGGACTGGGGTGTACGGGGGGCAGGGGAGTTGAGGGGGCAAGGGGAGGGGCAGCAACGGGCAGGGGCTGGGCCAGCTGAGGGCACGGAAAAGGGGCGGGCAGAGGGTGAGCAGCGGGGCGAGCGATGCAAGGGAGGCACCATAGGGGGGAAACCAGTTGCACGGAGGTGGGAGGTGAGGGGCGTGCGAGGGGGTGGGAAAGGGGCAGGGAGGGGCGGAATGGGAGGACGTGGGTGGGGGGTGGGGGAGGGGAGTGTGCGTGTGTGTGTGAGAAAGAGAGAGAGAGAGAGAGGGAAAGGGAGGGGGGGAGAGAAGGGTGGGAGGGGGGCTGGTGGTGCGGATGGGCTGATGGTGGCAAGAGGGCAGCAGGGATGGGGAGAAGGGAGCGTAACGAGGGGAACGCAAAGGGCAGGGGGGGAGGAGGGGAGGGGCAGGGAGAGAAGAGGCTGAACGTACAAAGGGGGGAAACGAGGGGCATGGATGGTAGGAAACAAGGGCAGGGGTGCGGGAAATCAAGGGCAGGGAGGGGAGAAGCAATGGGTGAGGGGAAAACAAGGGAGGGGCAGAGGGGGGGCAGGGAGGGAAGAAACGTGGGGCAGGGAGGGGAGAAGCCAAAGACAGGGGCATGGGCAGGCGGGGGCAGGGAGGGAGCAAAGGAGAGGCACGGAGAAAGAAAGGGAGGCGCGGGGAGGGGAGAAACCGGGCGTGGGGGGGCGGAAAATGAGGGGCAGGGCGGGGAGGAGGGAGGGGCAGGGAGGGGAGAAGCTGAGCACACGGAGGGGGGAAAGGTGGGGCAGGGAGGTAGGAAGCCAAGGGCAAGGGGGGGAGAGTGGGGGAGCAGGGAGAGGGGGGAGGTGGGGAGCGGAGAAAGGCGGCGAGGGGCAGGGAGGGGAGAAACCAAGCATAGGGGGGCGAGATACGAGGGGCAGGGTGCGGATTGAGGAGGGGCAGGGAGTGGAGTGGGTCGGCGAGGGGAAGGAAGAGGCGTGCAGCAGAGGAGGGGAGGGGGGAGGAGAAGGTAAACGAGGGGAGCGCACGGGCGGGGAGGAGCGAATGGCGGGCGGTGGGAAACGGCGAGGGGGGCAGGGAGGGTCAAAAGAGGCGGCAAGGGAGCGGGCACGCGGAGGGTGGGGGCGGGGGGGAGCGGATGGCATGAGGAGGCAGGGGGTGTGACTATGAAGGGGGGACCCGGGCAAGGGGTGTGTACCGGTCGGGGCACGGGATTGACGTGGTACGATCATACCTCGGCTACTACGCCGGATCCCATCAGAACTCCGAAGCTAAGCGCCGGTGGGCGAGAGCAGTACTGGGCTGGGTGACCTCCCGGGAAGTCCTCGTGTTGTACCCATTTATGCCCCTTGCTCGGCACGTGCCGGGGGAGGGGCAAGCGGGAAAAAGAAGAAAGATTTTAGCGCGTCCGATTTTTTTATTTTCGTTTTTTTGCCCAAACAACGACTCAGCGGGGTGGGGGCCCCCCGGGGAGGCTTGCCCGTGCGAAGAAACGCCCCGTGCGCACCACCGTTGGGCGGTTGGAAGCCGCACACGGTCGCGGGGGTGGAGAGCGGAAACGGGCAGCCGGGGGAGGGTGGGGGCGGTTGGATGGGACTGGGGTGTACGGGGGGCAGGGGAGTTGAGGGGGCAAGGGGAGGGGCAGCAACGGGCAGGGGCTGGGCCAGCTGAGGGCACGGAAAAGGGGCGGGCAGAGGGTGAGCAGCGGGGCGAGCGATGCAAGGGAGGCACCATAGGGGGGAAACCAGTTGCACGGAGGTGGGAGGTGAGGGGCGTGCGAGGGGGTGGGAAAGGGGCAGGGAGGGGCGGAATGGGAGGACGTGGGTGGGGGGTGGGGGAGGGGAGTGTGCGTGTGTGTGTGAGAAAGAGAGAGAGAGAGAGAGAGAGAGAGGGAAAGGGAGGGGGGGAGAGAAGGGTGGGAGGGGGGCTGGTGGTGCGGATGGGCTGATGGTGGCAAGAGGGCAGCAGGGATGGGGAGAAGGGAGCGTAACGAGGGGAACGCAAAGGGCAGGGGGGGAGGAGGGGAGGGGCAGGGAGGGAAGAGGCTGAACGTACAAAGGGGGGAAACGAGGGGCATGGATGGTAGGAAACAAGGGCAGGGGTGCGGGAAATCAAGGGCAGGGAGGGGAGAAGCAATGGGTGAGGGGAAAACAAGGGAGGGGCAGAGGGGGGGCAGGGAGGGAAGAAACGTGGGGCAGGGAGGGGAGAAGCCAAAGACAGGGGCATGGGCAGGCGGGGGCAGGGAGGGAGCAAAGGAGAGGCACGGAGAAAGAAAGGGAGGCGCGGGGAGGGGAGAAACCGGGCGTGGGGGGGCGGAAAATGAGGGGCAGGGCGGGGAGGAGGGAGGGGCAGGGAGGGGAGAAGCTGAGCACACGGAGGGGGGAAAGGTGGGGCAGGGAGGTAGGAAGCCAAGGGCAAGGGGGGGAGAGTGGGGGAGCAGGGAGAGGGGGGAGGTGGGGAGCGGAGAAAGGCGGCGAGGGGCAGGGAGGGGAGAAACCAAGCATAGGGGGGCGAGATACGAGGGGCAGGGTGCGGATTGAGGAGGGGCAGGGAGTGGAGTGGGTCGGCGAGGGGAAGGAAGAGGCGTGCAGCAGAGGAGGGGAGGGGGGAGGAGAAGGTAAACGAGGGGAGCGCACGGGCGGGGAGGAGCGAATGGCGGGCGGTGGGAAACGGCGAGGGGGGCAGGGAGGGTCAAAAGAGGCGGCAAGGGAGCGGGCACGCGGAGGGTGGGGGCGGGGGGGAGCGGATGGCATGAGGAGGCAGGGGGTGTGACTATGAAGGGGGGACCCGGGCAAGGGGTGTGTACCGGTCGGGGCACGGGATTGACGTGGTACGATCATACCTCGGCTACTACGCCGGATCCCATCAGAACTCCGAAGCTAAGCGCCGGTGGGCGAGAGCAGTACTGGGCTGGGTGACCTCCCGGGAAGTCCTCGTCGTCTTCAGCTGCGCAAGTGTTTTATGGACTAGCCAGTACATCAGCACCATAACTTCCTATCAGGCCCTGTGACTGGCACCAAACCTCTCTGCCATTCTTGCAATATCCTAGACACCTAAACTATTAAAAAACCCCACCTTTAAAATGACAAATGAATGTTGATACAGCAAAGTGTGTTGCAGGGTCCTATCCTTGCCCATATTGCTCAGCTTAATGCTGAGGAGTCACTACACCTTCATACCAGCTGCTGAGAAGGGCACAAATACTGTCCAAATTCTGAGCAATATTTGATGTGAATGGATTATAAGTAGAAAACCTCATTTAAAATGATGAACGGACATCAAAATGATAACACGTATCGTCTGGCCTACCATCGCACGGCTTCATGTGCTCAACTGTAAGAAACACTATATCTTCGTACCAGATGGTGTGAATGGCATCCTTTCAACATGGTGAATGAAGGAACTATTAGGAGAAACATTGCGTAGGATGACAAACGATCGTCGATATGGCACCTCATGTCGCACAACAGATCCAAGCAGGGTTAACTCGGCCTTATGGTGTGAAACACCAGATCTTCCTACCAGATGTTGCTAATGATCCTCCTGTTTGTCCAGCATCCATGCAATATAGTTCGTGGAAGAATGATCAGCTGAAACATTGTTTCAAATGGCAACCCCACCTCAAAATGACACCACGTATCGTGAGGCTTATCCTTGCAAGAAATTCCTTGCTATGTTGTTTCAAACACCTTATCTTCCTACTAACTGCTGCGTATGGCACCAAACCTAGCGAAATTTCTTACCATAAAGTTACAAACGATCGCCATCATCCCAAGTTGTACCGCGTATAGCACCGCATATTGCATAGGCCAATCCTGGAAGGGTTAAATTCTGCTTCATAGTTACTCAATAGGCACGGTTCCGCTGCGCAAACAAATGTGCGAGGGTTTTAGCAACCTCTCAGACAAGGCACAACACTACTACCAAGAAGACTGGTGTTTTAAATACGGCGGCAGAAATACAAGCTTTTTGCATTGTCTCCCAGCACACGCAATCGCTGATCTGTGAAGCAATGACATCGACCGTTGCATCAGCCTCTAAGTCGGTATTGTGTTATCTCGGAAGTATGTCAGCCATGGAATCATGCATAACAGACAGCAGTCATATAAGGTCTAGTGTATGGTCAAATGTGACATGGGCAGACGTTAGTAAGGCTCTTAGTTCTTCTCATAGCTGCTGCTTTGATCGTAGAGCTACAGTAGTCTCGTGGTCGTCGATACTGAGCTTCATCAATAGCTTATCCATATGTGATGCGACGAGCTGCTGCTCCAATGGTCGCTAGAAGTCATTTTCCATCACGGACAAATGGGACCCTCATCACTCTACACACTCGTGTTCACTGATAACAGAGCCGCCATCCTGCTGCGTAAGGAGCCTAGATTAGAGGGCACAACTTAACACAACAGTATGCGGTACTTGCTGATGCAGTGCGTTGGAGCAGCGTGTTCAGGCACACATGGTTTCAGAGGTAGACCACCAAGCCCAAAACCGATGATATATTCATCATGGTTCCCTAGCCTAGAGCTATCATAGGTTCTATACATAGCTTGGCCTTGTCCCAGTAGATCGTCAGATGGTAGATCTTTGTATCATGTACAGTTTGCAAATCAGACTATAACAGAACTCAAACCTTGGCATTGTGAAGGGCATGAAGATTTCAGGCTTCCGCAAGGTTACTCCTGCATGACTTACGACGGCGTTACTGGTAGGTAACTTTCGACTATGGCGTCTCGGGAAATTTGCCCAAATCTTCCTTTTCGTTCTAGCAACGATGAGGATTACTGTTTGATTGGTTGTCGCTTCGTTGTTACTGATGGGTTCGTTTGAGTGGCGAGAATCAATTCCAACTGTGTGCACCTCTGACTTGCTCGCTATGTGCAGGTGTTGGTGAATGTATAGTCGCGATTGTATAACAATATACATTGTGTAACAATATGTTTTTCCAATAGGGTTTAGTTACGACGTTTGTTATTGTTTAAGGGGTGTCACCAGGCCAGATTTATACATACCAAAATGGCCAGAAATTTTAATATACGACCCTGTTCGTAACCACTTGTCTGATCTTAAGAAATATCATTTTTTTAGTTTGGTTTTCATACAAGTTGAGTTTAGGGAGTGATATTTTTACAACATATGATGTTCGTATGGAATATATTAGCAAGTATCGAGTATTGTTCTCAAAGCGATACTTAATCAAACACTGTAAAGTTTGTTTGCATGCGTGTAGTCAACGCGACGTCCACGCGTAAATCACACATTGATCATGTCTGAACTTCTAGTCGTTGAGTAGCCATGGCGTAATCTTACGGTATAACTCTCCTTCACCATCGAACAAAGCAACCAACGACGACGATTAAACCAACACGAGACAACTCATTTGCTAAGGCTAAAGCGGCAGGGAAAACCTAAGAGGCTCTACGTCATCTAGTCAAGACGCGTTAGTGTGTCCAGTGAGTCTGACTAGTTGTCGTTGCTGCGATCAGAAGTTGATCGTCCCTATGATCACCTCAGGAAGGTTCGCAAACGATTCAGTAGTTGTGGATGGCCCTTGGCCTCAATAACGGAGTGGATGTAAACTGCTTGAGATGATAAAAACATGCAATTACATGAATATAATTAAGAGTACAAGGGAATGCGAATTGACCAAGGCTAGCCATGTACTCTAAGTAGTAAATTCCCTTATTGCAGCGAAACTCAACCACGCGACTCCAGACAGTTACGAAACCGACCGGAAAGAATCCTCGCCACTGCTGCTGCCTGATGCTGTCTGCCCGGCGGTCCAGATCCTTTCGTAATCGTATGACCCTTCGTGTCACTTCTGTTTTCACCTACACCCTTGGCAGTGCGTGCTTTGATTGTTGCGGTAAGGATTGCACAGTGATGCTTCGTTGATTACTATTCGTAACACCCCTTTTCACTCCTGGCCGTAGCGAGTCTTGACCCGCTTGACTACTCCGCTGAGTTCGGAACAGTGTTGGTACTGCGGACGTGACAGCTTATTCGTGAGGAAGTTAGCTGCCATGTCACCCGTCGGGCAGTAGGTTAGGTCAACCTTGCCCTTGTCAACTTCGTCCTTGACAAAGAAGTACCGCAGCGCGATGTATTTGGTGCAGTTGACAAATCCATGCTTGTCCGCGATCTTGATCGCTCTTTGGTTGTCACAGTGCATGCGGAAGTTCGGCGAAGCTGGAATTTTCGCCTCCTGCAGCAGCTCCCGAAGGTAGAGGCCTTCGCGAATAGCTTTTGTTGCTGCGATAAACTCGGCCTCTGCAAATGACAGGGCAACCAGCTCCTGTTTTTGTGAGTTCCAGGAGATAGGGCCGCTGGGTTCGAGGCGAAAAAGGAAGCCTGTCCTGGACCGTCGATTGTCGGGGTTAGCGGCATAGTCGGCGTCCACGTAGCCGATGAGGTTGAAGGACACGGTTGGGATGGTGGAGTAGCAGAGCCCAACATTGGGCGTGGAGATGAAGAACTGTAGTGCTCGCTGAAGATCTAGCAGATTCTCAGCCGTTGGTTTGCGGAAGTACTGAGCCAAGTGGCTCGCGATGTAGGAGAGATCGGGTTGCAGGTAACAGAGGCAAAGAGTAGGCATCCCAGCTGCTGCTGGTAAGTCTGAAGCCCAGCAGGGGACAGGGCTTTGTTGTCCAGCTTGTGGTTTGGTTCTAGAATGCGGTAAGGGGTGGAGAGTGGTGCAGGTGCAATGTTGCAGCGATTGCCAAGTTCCTCTGCATACTTGGCTGCTGAGAGATGAATGGCTTCTGGTGAATAGTAGATGTTGAGCCCAAGAAACTGCTTCACGTCAAGGTTGCAAGTGATGTCGACGCGCCCCGCGAGATTCTTCTCGAACTGCTCAAACAACTCGTTGCTTGAGCCTGTGTAGAGGAGGTCGTCGGCGTATACCGTGAGTAGAATGTACTCGCCGCGGTAATCGCGGCGATACATGCCGGGGTCGTGAGGCAGCCGTTTGAAGCCTAATTCAAGCGGTTCATTGTGCAAGTACTGCTGCCAGAGCCTCGGCGCCTGTTTGATCCCGTAAAGGGACTTTCGCAGCTTGCACACCCGTGAGTCTCACGTAGATTACAACATTTACTAATGCGTAGAGGAACGTGTTCTTCACGTCGATTTGTCGGAGCAGCAGGCATCGTCGGCAGCGATGGAGAGGAGGATTCTGACGGAGGTGTGACGGCTCACCGGTGCAAATGCATGGTCGAAGTAGATGCCGTGCCTTTGATAGTATCCCCACACGACCCAGCGCGCCTTGACTCGCTGGATCGTGCCGTCAGCTGCGGTCTTCACACGGAAGACCCATTTCCCGGAAAGGATCCTTCTCCCCTTGATTGCCGCTCGATCGACGAGCACCCAGGTGTCGCGGGAATCAAGTGCCTTGATTTCAGCATCCATCGGACGTCATATCCGTAGGCACCACGTGTGTGCAGAGCTGGATGGTAATCAGGCCTGTCGATTCAAGGGCATATGGCCTTAATGCCCTGAACATTAAGGTCTGACTTTGCGGCAGGGTCCGAATTCTCAGGGTTGATTTTTTGTACAGCCCTGAATCCTAACAGGCGTGGGCAGGGCCTTCCCCTGATTCTTACAGGGGGCACTTAAGGGGTTTCCCTGATTCCTCGTGGAAGTTTCGGGCCCTACCCAGAAACTCCCACAGCTTTTCCTACACCCCCCCCCCTTTCCTGCCACCTTCTACCCCCACCCCCTCCCCCCCTCCCTCTTCTCCCTTACCATTCCATCCCAGCAGGGTCCTGCAGGAACATAGATTCTTTTGCCGCCAAGTCAGAGAGAGCACTCGCGTGACTCGTCTGAGATGTTATCGACTGGCTGCCCACCGCCTCCCCCCACCACGCTCTTATTGTTGTGGTAGATAGTAGTTTCAAAATGATTGTGGCTGCATTAGTTTACGTTATAAAGGGAATACCTCACACCCTGGATATTGAAGTGTATCCCTGAATTCAAGTTCTGAGTTTAGGGCTTTCCCAGGCGCTTAAAGGGTCGGAAAATGCCACTTTCCGGAAATTTCATGGCTGAAATCCGGGGACCTCAGACTCTCAAGTGTTGGCCTGGAACCAATCAACTGCCCTGATGGTAACAACACATGTTGTGAAGATACTTTGTCCTGAATTGAGACGCAATGATGTACAGCGCGGTTGTGCTCAGTGCAAATAAGAGAACAAGTGCGAGCTCGAAACTCAGATTCTGTAGTCAAGGCGGTGTTGCTGAATTCTTTGATTGTCTTATTCATTCACGTTAGATTTGAGGGAGGTTAGAGAGACAGTACAATAGGTAAGCATAAAAGTTCATTAGCAACCACGTGCCACACATTTAAGGGCAGAAATGCTCTACCAGGCATACCTATTAAGCAGTTTCAATGTAGGTCGTGTGAAGGATGTTATGATATGCTCTGCCTTTACAAGGTTATGTAGGTGAACTACCTTGTACGTACTATCGCGCCGACCTGTACCGAGCTTAAGGCTGAATGTTTCGTCGTCCACTCCTCGCTCCTCAAGAAATCTGACATACGCCAATGGGTGCATCTCTTGTCGTCGTCCTTCCGTTGGCGCATTCACGTGAAATAGCATTATCAACTGCGCATACACCACCCTGGCCGTGGCACCATTGCCTGTCTGTGAGCCCTGGTTTTTCATTGAGACATACGAGAACCAGGGTGTGCTGTGGAATTGAGGTGTAGCCCTAGCATAGTGGTCCTCGCACCCTTCTCGGTCAGGAAGGGCTACTGCCGTATGAACCTGCAAGTACATGGTGTTGGAAGAAAAGGGTGGATTACAGACCAATACACGGCCATATGGGCATCTACTGCGTGGATGGGTGCGGAAACACGTAGGGTCCAGACATACATGTATTTCGTCCACATTTCACCCAGCCCGGTTGAGCGCAGTTGCGAAAAAATCCATGCAATTGCCATGGACCTCCTTATAGCTGCGCCACACATCCGCCCCTACTTGCTTGTCCTGAATATGGGGCATGGAGACTGTGCTCGACGTTGCTGTTAAGACGGAATGCCCCTGTGCCGCAGCCTGTGGCGTGGTTGATATGGGTGTATGGAGGGGTTTGGGGAGGTGTAGCAATGGGGGAAGGGAGGTGCAGCATGTACGCAAATGAGATGCAGCATGTGGGTAAGGGAGGTGAAGGCGTTGGGGGGGAGTGGGGTGCTGCATGTGGGGAAGTGGGGTGCTGCTTGTGGGGAAGTGGGGTGCTGCATGTGGGGAAGTGGGGTGCTGCATGTGGGGAAGTGGGGTGCTGCATGTGGGGAAGTGGGGTGCTGCATGTGGGGAAGTGGGGTGCTGCATGTGGGGAAGTGGGGTAGGAGCATGTGGGGAAGTGGGGTGCTGCATGTGGGGAAGTGGGGTGATGGCATGTGGGGAAGTGGGGTAGGAGCGTGTCGGTAAGTGGGGTGCTGCATGGGGGGAAGTGGGGTGATGGCATGTGGGGAAGTGGGGTAGGAGCATGTCGGGAAGTGGGGTGCTGGGGGGAAGTGGGGTGCTGCATGTGGGGAAGTGGGGTGATGGCATGTGGGGAAGTGGGGTAGGAGCATGTGGGGAAGTGGGGTAGGAGCATGTGGGGAAGTGGGGTGCTGCATAGGGGGAAGTGGGGTGCTGCATGTGGGGAAGTGGGGTAGGAGCATGTGGGGAAGTGGGGTGCAGCATGTGGGGAAGTGGGGTAGGAGCATGTGGGGAAGTGGGGTGATGGCATGTGGGGTAGTGGGGTAGGAGCATGTCGGGAAGTGGGGTGCTGCATGGGGGGAAGTGGGGTGCTGCATGTGGGGAAGTGGGGTAGGAGCATGTGGGGAAGTGGGGTAGGAGCATGTGGGGAAGTGGGGTGCTGCATGTGGGGAAGTGGGGTAGGAGCATGTCGAGAAGTGGGGTAGGAGCATGTCGGGAAGTGGGGTGCTGCATGGGGGGAAGTGGGGTGCTGCATGTGGGGAAGTGGGGTAGGAGCATGTGGGGAAGTGGGGTGCAGCATGTGGGGAAGTGGGGTAGGAGCATGTGGGGAAGTGGGGTGCTGCATGTGGGGAAGTGGGGTGATGGCATGTGGGGAAGTGGGGTAGGAGCATGTGGGGAAGTGGGGTGCTGCATGGGGGGAAGTAGGGTGCTGCATGTGGGGAAGTGGGGTAGGAGCATGTGGGGAAGTGGGGTGCAGCATGTGGGGAAATGAGGTTCACAGCGTAACTGCAGCAGTCTCTAAGGGATCGTGGAGGTGCACAAGCTCGGAGGAACTTGAGACTAAGCATGTAAGGCAAGGATGAGGTATAGGCAAGGGTGGAGGGATGCGATATCAAGACGGGGAGGGTGGAAAGAATATGGAGCGCGAAAATGTCAGTTGGAGTGGCTTTCGCACCTTGACAATTGCAGTTTGGCGTTTTGGCGTTTGTGAGAAAGCGCTTGGGAGATGGATCAGCGCCGAGCGGAGCACAGTGGTGCGCATGATGGCGTCATCATAATTTCGATAATTAGAGGCATGGAAAGGTCGCTTGCAGGTAGGAGCATGGGCATGCTCCCAGGTGGCTGTAGAGTACTCCGAGGGAGCGCCGGATCTGGTAAGTTCAGGTACGAAAAGCCCAATATTAGTGTAACGAACGCAGTGTAATTGTTATCCAAGGCGTAGTGCTGTTTTCTAAATGTAGGGGTAAAAGGTGGAAGGGGGGGGTGTGGGGAGTGCTGCTTACGAATTGTGGGCTTACTCTTTTGTGTCGACCAGGTATTGCCGAAGCATGGCTTCAGTGTATCGGGTAGCACGGAAGTATTGGTCGTACCACTTTACAAAGGTCCGCACAACGGCCATCTTCACTGGAGCTATGCGCATGTTTTCCAAGATCAAGAGTATTTCCTGAGCAAACACGTAAAGACGGGGTAAATCCACGGGAGTCATTGAGCCATGGTCGGGTCAAAGCTCAGGGGACACGCCCTGTATGGTGGCGAAATGCACAATTTGCATAGCTGTTACGATAAAAAAGACGAGACATCATGTGCTAATTCGGTTACGAACTTTGATCATTCCCGCATGTTTGGCAGCGGATAAGTTTGCACCAAGGTTGAAGTAGTTTCCGTCAGGAGGAAGTTTGAAACCAGAGAACCGCTCGTCCGTGTTCATCACGCCATGCCGCCTGAATGGGCAGGGATAAGAAACACGCTCCTTCGAAATATACATATGAGGGAGATGAGGGGGTGAGAGCGAGGATGGCGGTCCTATCACGGTAGGGGCCGCATGGGTAGGCTTGTGGGGTGGGGAGGTGCAGCATTCAAGTAAAGCATTAGGGTGTACAAACTTTAGGGGCAGTGTGGTGCAGCATGGGGGGGGAACGAGGTAATCACGTAGGGAAGTGGTGTGATACGTGGGGGGAAAGCAGGGTATGCTTGGGGGAAAAGGAGGCGGGGCATGGGGGGAAAACAGGTTTGACACTTGGGCAAGAGATTGGCAGAATGGGGAGAAGGAGAGTAGGAATGTGAGTAACGGAGGTGCCGCTCGAGGGGAAACCAGAGTAGGCATGTGGGGAAGGGGAATGCAGCAAGAGGATCAAATATGGTATGAGCAGCATGGGTGGGAGGTGGAGCCGTTGGGGAGAAAGACGTGGAGCAAGAGGGGAAAGCAGGGTGGGAACATACAGATCATATAAGCACGGTACAACCAGATTTGAATAACAATTAGTAACCATGCAACAAACATACCTATTGAATTCTTGGACATCTTCTCCCTGAACGATGCACTCTAGGATATAGAGCCAGACTCTAATAAGAATCGCATGTAGAACATCCGGGAGGACTGCCAAGTATGGGTTGCCAAAACCCTTCCGTTCCTCGTCGTTCCGATTGAACTTCCACAGAATACACTGCAACCAGCAGTTGAACCGTTGTAATTAGGCTCATTAAAACCAGTGAGAGTCACGGGAGGAATGTGAACAGAATAGTGAGCAGCAAAAACGACCGGACAGAAAGGCGAAGGTTGGCTTTTGCAATTACAGGAATATTGTGTGTCCCATAGGATTTTCGATATTCCTTGTCTGGGTCTGCAGCTACCCCTTTTTGCGCCTCTACCGTCCTCCAGTGGTTCAGGGTGGGATCCATGTTGGCCAGGTTCAGCTGTGTCACATAGCACTGTGAACAAGGACGGTTTGACTGATGTTGCATCGTGCAAGACACCCGGCACCCCTCTGGATAGTCGGTCACCCATGAATACAGCTTGGGCCACACGGTCCATGCTCGCCCGTGTGGATCAATCAAAGGCACAGAGCTGATGGGGTGTATATCAGAGGAGCGGACAGAGAGAATACGGAGGCCGTGAACATTCTTGGAAGAAGTGTGTGCCCGGAGCATGTCGGTAGGGCATGGGCAGCATGTGGGAAGGGCATGGGCAGCATGTGGGAAGGGCATGGGCAGCATGTGGGAAGGGCATGGGCAGCAAGGGGGGAACAGAGGTGCATCATGTTGGGATGGGATGTGAAGCATGTGGAAAGGGATGGGTATTTTGGTGGGAAAAGATGGGCTGCAGATGCTACAGTTTTCATTATAGCAGGTAGGAGCCACACTGCAGCGAATAACATGTAGAGCTACGGCTATCGCTTACCATTTGCCGGCAGCAATAAGCCTCTCAAGCACAATGTCCATGCTTTTCTGAAACAGCTCCACCTTTTGGGCTGGTGTCATATCCGGATGTGGTGTTGGTAAGAGAGCTAGAAGGACACGTCCATGATCTTTCCAGCGGAGCCGTAGAGGGATGTTCGTGCATGAGAAGTACAAAGGCCATGCCTTGAGGCGCTCGTTCCCACTTAAAAGTGTCTCGTCACTCGAGATTATAAATGGACACACCAATTCGTCTTCTGACAGGCCGACCTGAAAACAAAATGCAAGCACGAGCGCTGCCCTTCATATTTTACGCAACTTTAGTAAGTCAGCATAAACCATTAACGTAGTGGGTGCACGTCGAACAACAGTTCACAAGCAGCCCTCGGGCAAAGCAACGAGGCCGACACACCAATATTTTACGCAACTTTAGTAAGTCAGCATAAACCATTAACGTAGTGGGTGCACGTCGAACAACAGTTCACAAGCAGCCCTCGGGCAAAGCAACGAACAACGCAGCAACTGACGATGCTGAAGAAAGTTAGCATACCTGCGCCTCTTCCCAAAAGGTCCCAGTCTCTGCTGCCCCGTAGACGCGCTCTTTGTTCTCGTACTCGGGTCTTGCACGATGTATAAACCCATCACCATTCTTTGGGTCGGCCCATAGGCGTGCCAGAGCCTGATCGGTGCAGAAAACACATGTACGCAGTGAGCAGACCGAGCAAGTTAGCAGACTGTGGGAAGAACAGACCGTGAGAGGATCAGACCGCGAGAGGATCAGACCGTGAGAGGAACAGACCGTGAGAGGAGCAGACAGAGAGGGAAGCGGACAGAGAGAGGAGCGGCCAGAGAGAGAAGCGGACAGAGAGAGAAGCGGACAGAGAGAGGAGCGGCCAGAGAGAGAAGCGGACAGAGAGAGAAGCGGCCAGAGAGAGAAGCGGCCAGAGAGAGGAGCGGACAGAGAGAGGAGCAGACAGATGGAGCAGCGGAAAGTGAGAGAAGCGGACAGAGAAAGAAGTGGACAGAGAGAGAAGCGGCCAGAGAGAGAAGCGGACAGTGAGAGAAGCGGACAGAGAGAGGAGCGGCCAGAGAGAGGAGCGGACAGAGAGAGGAGCAGACAGATGGAGCAGCAGAAAGTGAGAGAAGAGGACAGAGAAAGAAGCGGAAATAGAGAGGAGCGGACAGAGAGAGGAGCGGACAAAGAGTGAAGCGGCCTGAGAGAGAAGCGGACAGAGAGAGAAGCGGACAGAGAGAGAAGCGGACAGAGTGAGAAGCGGACAGAGTGAGAAGCGGACAGAGTGAGAAGCGGACAGAGTGAGAAGCGGACAGAGAGAGAAACGGACAGAGAGAGAAGCGGACAGAGTGAGAAGCGGACTGAGTGAGAAGCGGACAGAGTGAGAAGCGGACTGAGTGAGAAGCGGACAGAGTGAGAAGCAGATAGAGTGAGAAGCGGACAGAGTGTGAAGCGGACAGAGAGAGAGACGGACAGAGAGAGAAGCGGACAGAGTGAGAAGCGGACTGAGTGAGAAGCGGACAGAGTGAGAAGCGGACAGAGTGAGAAGCGGACAGAGTGAGAAGCGGACAGAGTGAGAAGCGGACAGAGTGAGAAGAGGACAGAGTGAGAAGCGGACAAAGAGAGAAGCAGACAGAGTGAGAAGCGGACAGAGTGAGAAGCGGACAGAGTGAGAAGCGGACAGAGTGAGAAGCGGACAGAGTGAGAAGCGGACAGAGTGAGAAGCGGACAGAGAGAGAAGCGGACAGAGTGAGAAGCGGACAGAGTGAGAAGAGGACAGAGTGAAGTGCCGACGGTGATAGGTGCGGCCAGTGCTAGGTGCGGAAAGTGATAGGCAGCGGTGCATAACACGATGGTTCACTCACCACGACGGGGTCGATGTGCTTGACCTTGAACTTCGTCGGCCATCCTTCAACGGTCACCTCCTTGGTGATGTACTTCTTCTTTTCGACGCCCAGTTTCTCAAACGCGTACTTGTCCACCGCGTGCTTCCCATTCCAGTCTGCCAGATCGCTTAGCTTGAACTTCGGATGCTTTATCAGTTTGAAGAAGAGGGCAATGTCTGTACTACTCAATCCCATCCCTCTGTTGCACAGACACAGAAAATGGAATACTTCCATGCAGGTATCGAAGGGTTCCTCGGGCTCGTCATGAAGTATGGATTTGCCTCGTGGAAGGTTTCTCTGTCGACCAAGCCGGGGTCACGAGGGTTGTGGAGGGTGTCGGGTGGAGGATCCGTCGGCAGAGGGTGCAACGACTCTGCGGGAAACACGGGTTCAGTTTGAGGTGGCACCGGAGTTTCACGCATGGCACGTGGCAGGGCGTCGAGACGTGCACGTTTGTTACCGCATCCGCCTTCGAGTTGCTCGTGATTTGTCTGGCACTTCTCATCATCGAATGGCTCCCCGCAGAACACGCATGAGTGACTGGCCATTATCTGATACAGAGAGGTGACCAGTGCGGTGGGGTTAGCATGAGTTTCGCATGGTAACAAAAACAAAAGCACCACAGCCAAGCCTGCCACGGACGTATGGAAAACATACAAGTATGAGAATGAAGAAAGCATGCCCTTCCGTCCCGTAGCGCGCGTTGGTTTTATCGCTCATGGCCTAATCATTCCAACAGTGATCGAATAATTTGACGTATGGAGTCTACGAGTGGGGTCCAAGTTAGTTGCAAGTATGCGATAGGATTTGCACACCAAACACTGGAATAGGAGATACGAGAGGGAACTGGATTGCGGCTCAGAATGTACGAAGCGCCCCAAGTGTTGAATAAGCATTCAAAATTTGAAACATGCAGGGATTACATGCGAAATGGGTTGCGAGTGCGCATCGCGGATCGAAGTGCGCCTGTTAAAACAACACGCGGGGGTTGTGGTAATTCGATATGTTCAACATGTCATGTACACTGACCAATATTAATTCGTACAGTAAGAGTCTGGAATCGTAAAAAACTTATGAACTTCACTGACGGCGCTTTCGTCTGATATTCGACGCTCTTGGACTGTGCCTTTCTGCATATTGATTGACGTTCAAAATCAGGCGATATTCATAAACACATACGGGATTCAGGAAGTACACTGAAGTTAGCGTCATTATCATTGCATCTTTCTTGCACGCGGCTTATCAAAATCCAGTTTGCAGAATCACAGGGACAAATCAGGACTGTTAAACAGAGGTATGATTATTGACTGTATCTAAAACGTGAGTTCCGTATTGTTTGCTGGACGTTTCTCAATGTGTCACGAAACTAGCATGATTGCCATTGATTCATATTCTTGGAGAAGGAAAGGGAGAGGGAAAGAGGTATGCTTTCTGACTTTATGGTGTGTGGCACAAGGTATGACAGACAACAATGAAATCACGCCAAAGTACCCGTGCTCCTATCAAGCATCCATTGTGACGTGAGATGCACTACCGCGCGGCATCAAGCTGTTCAGTGAGCTCGCAGGTGGCTCGTCCTAGTTCCGTCATCACAGGGTGCTGCATATGTCGGAGTGAATTGGCGCGTATGGCACCGTCCTATTCCGTCATCCCGTACAGACAGCCATACGCGCCTTTTCTCACCGACAGAAACCCGCTCCAAAGCGTGCATCATTCTACGTTACTACTGGCCGTCGTTGGCAAGCGTCACGAGCTCAGCAGCAAGTCTTGTGGAGCTTTCGTGCGATGTTTTTTGACATCGTAAGAATCGTAGTCAATGATGCAGCATGTATAGGCGCGACCAAGACGTAGAGGCGGATCTAATTTGGAGGCGAAACCCTGTTTCACAGAGGATGAGCTCATCTTAGGAGCTGGAGCAACATAACCATAGCTCCAGGAATCTTGAGAAAGCAGGACAGCGAGAAACAAGTTATGTCGTTTTAGGAGGAGCTATCTGGTGACACACTCTGCGTGGGGTGTTGGTGACGGGCCTGTACACAGAAGCCGAAACGGGTTGGATGAGATGCCACGTCGGCATAGAGTATCACGACTGGAAGCTCCCAGACATTCACCCTAGCCAACCACATGCTTGCACGATGATTGCGATATGACCAGATCCCTCGCAATACACTAGCGTGGTGCACGAACAGGCAAACACCACACACAGAATCCATCATCTGGCCACGAATGCACTCCTATTCCGCTAATGCAACACCCTTGTCTAATACGAAAGCAGTATTAGCGTTCTGAATAAACCCATTGTTCTTATATTCTACCAGTGTTATCGTTAGTCACGAACGAAGTGCTTTTGTAGGGTTGATGGTGTTGTCACCACCAGGTGCCTCTGGTCGACCACAAAGTGTAAAGACAGGGTAAATCCACGAGAGTCAATGAGTCTTCCACACCACACAATGCAACGAACAGTAGAACCGTTGTAATCAGGCTCACTCAGAACAAGGGTGGGTCACTTGAAGAATGAAAACAGAATATTGAACACCAAAAGCGACAGGATAGAAAGGCGAAGGGGTCGCTGTTGCAATTACAGGAATATTATGTGTCCCAAATAAGCTTCGCTATTCCTTGTCCGGGTCTGCTGCTACCCCCTTTTGCGCTTCTACCGTCCTCCCCTGGTTCAGGGTGGGATCCATGACGGACAGGTTCGAATGTGTCACATAGCACTGTGAACAAGGACGTAGCATCTAGTTTGACCTCATTCGCACACCTACGCAGCCCGTGGCGCTTGTTTGTGCGTTCGATGGCCCGAAACTGTCCAAGGATAGGCCAGTACGCAACATGTTGTCGTTTCATCCTCTCTTTGCTATTTTTAGCAACGTTTCTTCACACATTCAGGCAGTTCAATCAATTACCTTGCCATAGGAACTGGTTTGATCTCATTCGCACACCTACGCAGCCCGTGACGCTTGTTTGCGCGTTCGATTGCCCGAAACCGTGCAAGGATAGGCCAGTACGCAACATGTTGTCGTTTCATCGTTTGGTTGCTATATTTAGCAACGTTTCTTCACACATTCAGGCAGTTCAATCAATTACCTTGCCATAGGAACTGGTTTGACCTTATTCGCACACCTATGCAGCCCGTGGCGCTTGTTTGTGCGTTCGATGGCCCGAAACTGTCCAAGGATAGGCTAGTACGCAACATGTTGTCGTTTCATCCTCTGGTTGCTATTTTTTGTGAAAGAATGAGGAATGAATGCACTAGGAAACAGGTGGGTACAAGTAGGAAAACCTAAAAGTGTTGTACCCCATATTATCTACCCCACTACAGCCTACACAGACTATAGCATATAAGTTTGACACACCCCCATAGGCAAAGTGGGGGAGAACAAGAGGTCACAAGACCAGTCAAGCAAAGCAAAGCAAGCTCAGGGTGGATCACAACGTCACCACACATTCCGAGCACAAGTTCAAGGCCACAAAGCCAGTTCACATGCAAGATCATATATAAAGGTAAACAAGCAAGTGCAGGTATAGAAAGCTCACAATACAAGCAAGGTCAAGAAGTGAGCAAGTGAGGCCAAGTAGGCACAAGACCTAGCATCGTACAGCAGCGCTGATGATCACAAGGCGGAAGTGCCTTGGTAAAGATATCAGCAGTGTTGGCCTCAGAGGCCACGTAAGCAAGGCGCAGCTGACCACGCTGCTGCAGCTCACGAGCAAGGAAGTATCGAAGAGCAATGTGCTTCGTTCTGTGCTCCAGTCTGTGCTCCCGACACAAGGCCAGCATGGCCTTGTTGTCTACGTACAGAACTGGAGGAGAACGAGGCGGCTCTCCTAGGTCAGTCAGCAGGTAGGTGAGCCAGCGTAGCTCCTGTGCAGCCATGGCCCCCGCGTAGATCTCAGCCTCACAGCTGGAGCCGAGAACAGAAGACGAGCGGGTAGACCGCCACGAAACAGAGCCAGAACCAAGGCTGAAGGTGTAACCCTGTGACGACCGCTGCGTAGCCTGGTCGTCAGCCCAAGAAGCGTCTGCGTGACCTGTGAGGACCACTGAACGCCGCCCTCCAAGCACTAGCCCCATGCCCGACGTACTGCACAAGTAGCGCAACACCCTCTTCGCTGCAGCCATGTGCTCTGGTCGGTGTCTCCTAGGAGCAACATAGCGTGCCAAGTGCTAAGAGGGTATGCAAGGTCAGGACGAGTGCAGGTCATCAGGTACATGAGGCAGCCAACAAGCTCTGGGTACGGGCCACTTGGCTCTACGGACTCATCCGAAGGCAGAGCTGAGAGCGAGTGGTGAGTAGACAGAGGAGTGGCCTGAGGCGAGGAGTACGTGAAGTCAAAGCGCTGAAGGACCTGCTGCACCATGTGCGACTGAGTCAGGGTAATGGTGCGCTGTGCTCTGTCCCGGGTGATCTGCAAGCCAAGGTAGCTGCGCAGTTCACCCAGGTCTGTGCACGTGTGTCTCTTCTGCAGCTCGGACTTCACGTGGGCGAGTCCAGCAGTGTCAGCAGTGGCAAAGACCAAGTCGTCGACGTACACGAGGATGTAGAACGGCGGCAGAATAGTGTCGGTGCGCAGAAACAGCGACGGGTCGGCAGTAGAAGGAGCAAACCCAAGAGCCGCAAGTGTAGTCCTCAGTGTGTCGTGCCACTCACGGGGCGCCTGACGGAGACCGTAGACTGGCCGCCGGAGGCTCCACTAGGTACCAGGAGGACACGACCCAATGAAGCCAGGTGGGCGGCGCAGCCAGATCTCCTCGTGCAGGCTGCCCTGTAAGAAAGCTGTGCTGAAGTCAAGAGAGTGCAGCTCGTAGTCGCGCTGAGCGGCTATGTGCAGCAGCACCCGAAGAGTGGTCATCTTCGGGGTGGGAGAGAAGGTCTGAAAGTAGTCAACTCCCTGCCGCTGACTGAAGCCTCGAGCCACGTAACGCGCCTTGAAGACAACGGAGAACCCGGCGGCCGCTTCACCCTGAAAATCCACATGCCACTGACGATGTTCGCCCCAGGTGGGGGAACCTCATCGACGTAGGTGCCTGTGGACTTCCAGGAAGCCATATCTGCGTCCATGGCTGACTGCCACTGAGAGGAGTAGGGACCCTCTATCGCCTCTGCGTAAGAGCGCGGAGTCGGGATGTCTGGTGCATCCGGGTCTCCCTCAGGGGCAATCAGCATGGACACGAGATGAGGCAAAGCAGCAGCAAAACACTGGAACTCCTCCTGCCTGTCCTCAAGGACGTC